TTCGTTCCGTGTTTAACATTTGTTTACGGTATGTCTCAAATTGATTGTCGTTACCCCCACCCCTCTCTCCCCTGGTTGTTGTATACCCCCCTCGAAACAAAATCGATCATGCTACAGGTTCGAGAGGAGGCACAAATTACCAGTTGACAATACCGGGGAGACGTGCACTGTTGTACATCTACAAATCAATGTTTTACCTTTCATTTTGTAAGTTTATTTTTGTTTATCCCCCCCTGTAAAGCAAGTCGTTTTAATTGGGAACCCCAACCAGCTTGAGGGCATCTTATTGAGAGAGCCAATTTCGATGAGTATTTTTTTTGCCTAAAATAATGTTCAGCCCTTTATCAATCCACCGCTGGAGGAAGACCTCTCACGCTGCGTGGTCATCGAATTTTCTTGACCATACTTCACCGCACCGGTTAGTGGAGTTGGTGTATGGTGGGGGTAAGGAGCCGCAGGACTGGTTAATAGATCACTCGCCACTGATGTTTGCCATGGCGAGGAATTGAACTCTCGTTGGCAGGTTCCTAGCACAACACGCTAACCACTGCACGTACACTTTAAATTACAGCCCATTTTGTCAATACACTGCTGCATGAAGGCCTCCCCACGCAATGATGGTGATGAGGATTGTTTGGTATGAGTCGCCACTGATGTTAGCCGTAGCCAAGAATAGCGCAGTGTGGTAACCACTGTGCCACCATTATCCACCTTTCAACATTTTATAACATCACAGCCGTTTGTCAATCTACTGCTGGATAACGGCGTGCAAATGTTGCGTCGAGATTTCTGTAAAACATTTAAAATGGTTCTGTAGATGTGCACACATAAGTGGCATATGGAAGATGCAGTTCGTGTGCAGTTTTTGAGGCAATAATTTAAGACATCGTCGTCATCATCTGTCATGGTCAATCCACCGCCAGATGAAGGCCTCTCCAATTTGATGCCATTTCTCGTGGCCCTTTGATGCAGCAATCCATATAGCTCTGATTTCACCGCTCCCTCTCAGCATGGTGTAGGCCTCTGCAAGGTAAAGTAAAAGGTGAAAACAACGAGCCTACCTTTACCCTACCGTTTACCTTACCACAATACAATCACTCTACCCTTATCTTTTACGTTTAGCAAGATAAGGTAAAAGGTCAAAAGCAACGAGCCTACCTTTACTCTACCTTTAACCCTTAGCCCATACAAATTACCCGATTACAGGGTATTTACTGGGGTAATACTACACATGAAAAAGTTTATAATAGGTAAATGCTCGGTAGAGTACTTTATTCATATAGAATACTCTCGATGATTCCAATTTTAAATGGAGGCCACGGAGCTTTTAGAAGCTCCGTGCGCCACGGAGCTTTTAGCGAGCGGTAAACAAGGTATTTACCAGGTAATTATTCGCACTACCTTTACCCTACCGGTAATTCTTCCGTGCTACCTTTACCCTACAATTTACCTTATCCCTTAGCATGTTGACACCTTTACCCTTTTACCCGGTAAAAAGGGTAAATTTCCTTAGCTTGCCGAGGCCAAAGATGGTGGACGAACCCTCTTGAACATGTTGCTGCCATCAGCTGCCACTCCAGTATTAGCCTCGACCAATTTAGATATGCTGATGACAATCTGCCATGCTCAAGTGACCTTCAATATGAAGCGTTTTTTATATATGCAGTCTTAAGGAAATATTGGTGAATGTGATTACAGCTTGCAATTAGCTTTGGCTTTGCTTAACACAGTCTTAGATGCACTCTTAACACACTATTACGGCATACGAAACGTCTGTCATGTAACAGGCTCGGCATAACCCAAGGCCGTAGCCATGGAGTCAGCATTGGGGGGGACCAAATCTTCCAGGGTGTCTGGGGGTCCCAACCCAGAAAAATATCTACATTTGAAAACTCATTTCCTGCCTAAAATATAAAAAAATTCACTAACACATGGGATGGACTTTTTTTTTATAATGTCTAATAGTGTATTGTATTACATTGCTCTGTTTTTACTTTTTTACCGTGTCTTGTTTCATTGTATGTAATGGCAGAGATTAAGGATTAATAAAGTACTAACATAACCACAATCATATAAACAGAAATCTATGCATTGATGTATATGAAGACAAGTCCAGATATTGTGGCTGAGGTTTAGCAAATTGATGTTTTTTTTTACATAGCATAGCAATTATTTTTATCGCAATATATCGGGGGGGGGGACATTTTGAGCATATTTGAATATTGGGGGGTTGTATTCCCCCCAATATATATGAAATTACGGCCTTGGTATCACCACATATGATGTGCAGAGAAACACTGTATACACACGTTTAGTTTATAATGCAGGTAACAGACCATCATTGCTGTTCATGATCACAACCTTGGCTATAGGCTGTGCTGCAGTGGAAACTTTGAGACAAAACAGAAAGGGCAATTCCCCAAGGTAATGTGGATTTATAGGCCAGTGACCACGTTAATCCAATTTACTGATCTTCCACTCATGGCTTTGGTTCTCGAACGCAGAGGACGGTCATGGGTGAGCTCAAGTCCACAATCGGCGACTCAGTTTCGACATGGGCTGAAAGTCACGAAGCTGCGGAGACTTTTCTGTAAACCCTAATTTTACGGTGCACAGTTGTGGAGAATAAGACGAGCAATTGCAAAATGCCCCTCAAATCAAATGCCTCACTGGTGATACTCTCTCATGCTCCTCCCATTACAGTCTCAGGATGAAAATGTAAAGTGGCAGCACATGTGAATGAAAGCATTTCGGAGTCAAGTACAATGGGGTTACTTCACCGATGCCACTGTTAATGCCGTCGAATAAATGTGTCGAGTGTAATGCCGATGCACTTGAAGCAAAGCATATTTGAGCCCGCCGTTAATTACGTGAATTTTTGTCCAGATGGAAGAACCTTAGTAAATTTATATATTCCATGTGTGCCCATTTTCGGGTGAATATTTGAGGATTGAGAATGTGAAAAAATAATCGGGTTTTTTTGTTGTTTGCCCTTGACACACTGCACGTTTTCTCTCTGAAGGCAAGAGAGAAGAACGCATTTTGCTTCAAACAAAATCGTTTAAACGGATTATTGCCACTAGAGGGCACTGTGGGCCCACACATGGCAGAGCTGTAATGTTCAAACACCGTGTCACCCCCACTCCCTACAGCTACACCGTGCTCCAGTACGAAATGTCCACAGCCTAACAGAAGCCAGCTCTTGCGCTTTAGAAAAAAAAAAACACAACATGATTGAGGTCATTGCAACAGCCAAGAGCGTGCTGGACTCAATTCCCCGGCCACATTTTAGTGCCAGCACCACCACAGGGCACGGCATGCACATGTGCGAACGGGAGCTAGGGTAAGGAAGTTAGTTCACCTCCGTAAATGTCTTATCAACCTCGCCGTATAATGCAGCTTGCCTTTAGGCTAGATTGAATTTGCTAAATATCTATCTATCTATATAATTGGCAACATTTTTCCTCCAATTCGTCTATTCACCGATGCGCTTTGGCTGTGGTGAGCGTTGCTCTGTCTCTCTATACGATGAGCTGTCAAATAGGTTTGAGAATGTGTTGTAAATAAGTATGTACACGCTCACACCTTTCAGAGTACAGTGCTGTAATTTTGAATCGTAGCCACTTTACATCACGGTGTCGCGTACTGCTATATGATTACTAAAAATATATATATAATGGGTTTCAAAATAAGCCTTGTCTCAGTGCAACTATTTTTAGTGTCTAATTTAAAATAATCTCTCATGGCCTTATTTCAAGACCGTGAGAGATGGTGATGGCTTGGGGAGGCCTTCATCCAGCAGTGTTTTTTTTGTATCATGGCTGATTGTGATTATTTCAAGAACCTTTTTGTCTATTGCCCATTATCTCTACCACGTAAAGATGTAACAATCTGCAATTTATGCGTTTTTATATACACTAAAATGTATCTGATTACAGCTATATCTACCTTTCATTTTTTCCCTGTTTGCCTTGAATCTCTTTAACGATGGCTTTAGATTAATTGAGCTGTTCTAGCTAATTCCAATAATGATGCTCATTTCAGAGAATTGTGGCAGTTGTATTAGTTGTAAAATATATTTAAAATGCACAAGTTTATATAGGTTTTCTACTTCTAACTAAAGTATTTTTAAAATATCAAGAGCCCTTTGGGAATGGCATTTCAACACCGGTGAATCTGAAGTTTTCCACATCGTGCTACGGTTGTGGAATTCTGTTTGAGGCATGACACTACAAATACTATTTGTAGCAGCTGGTGTCAGTGTTTTATTATCTTTTGCGATAGCCGAAGAGGATTTCTGTTAGACTTCGAAGTGCATGGTGAGCACAAACAAATATATCTTCTTGTGTTTCCTGGAGATATCGGCTTCTTGACTCACGGTTACATCAAAGAGGCTCACCCAAGCAGGCTCTGAGGATTTCGATATATGTTTTGAAGACTTACACAAACCAAGTTAATGCAAAGCGGTCAAATAAAATGCCCATGGCACCTAACAATCCCGTTTCAGAATGCGTGAGTAGGTGGAATTCTCCAACCTTGCCTCTTCTTTAAAATATTTATTTGTTTACATTTTCTATTTTACTTCAAAACTACTAAATTGAGTTATTTACTATAATGCCTCCCTCCAATTCATATGTGCACATTTCTTAAACAGAACACGTACAAGAGAATTCACGTAAAACTGTAAGCAGAAGATAGACGTTTCAATGATGTGGAAATGTCACGTTTGCGCTTAAATGCCTTGGCATCATTACACCGAGCGAATCGGTTGAGCTGGTACCGGTGAAAGTGATCATACGAATGTCATTGCGGAACGTAATGCCACATTCAGCAGAAAGTAAGCGCAAGATTGACGAAGTTACAAAAATAGAGGCTTAAAATGCCATTAAAAATAATTACAAAGAAGGTTATTAATCGCTCTAATTTGCCTTTACATTGAAATGCTCCTTTAGGGGGCTAAACTTTTCAAAAGCACTAATGATCTATTTTATTTTTTACAGGCAAAGGCCCAGAGATATTGTATGCCGGAAAACACCTCAATGATAATGTGTGGCATACAGTTCAAGTAATCCGGCGTGGCAAAACTCTCAAGCTTACTGTGGATGGGACCTCAGCCGATGGTAAAGTGTGACGTTTTAAATTAAGTTTTTGTTGCTAGTTTAAGAACGCATTGTCATTTAACTTTACATCGCAGGGTTATGAAATAATTTATAACAATATTTGAACAGTTCTTAACATTTTTAACCATTTACTTATTCAGTCTATAATATTTGCGATATTATTCTATAACAGTACATTTAAGAGTATAGAATAACATTTCATAATATCAAATCATTTAAAGCAATGTTCAATGTATTTAGTATACAATAACAATACAAGTATTGTACAAGACAGTAATATAACGTCATTTTACATCGAATAATAATACAGGTTTTTGTTGTCCTTGTAAAATTTATTCCACTCCATAATTGATTATTTGTTTCCCTTTGCTTAATAGGCCTCATGGACGGCGACCACACCCGCCTTGAGTTTCACAACATCGAGACGGGCATCATGACAGAGCGCCGATACACTTCCGTGATGCCCTCCAACTTCATGGGCCACCTGCAGAACGTCGTCTTCAACGGCATGGCCTACATCGACCTGTGCCGCAACGGCGACATCCGATACTGCGAGCTGAACGCGCGGTTCGGCATGCGCACCATCATCGCCGACCCAATCATCTTCAAGACGCGTGGCAGTTACCTGACGCTGGCCACCCTGCAGGCCTACACCTCCATGTACCTCTTCTTCCAGTTCAAGAGCACGTCCAGCGACGGGCTCATCCTCTACAACAGCGGCGACGCCAATGACTACATCGCTGTTGAGCTGGTCAAAGGGTAGGCTGAGGGCAGTGGCGGTGCGGCGTGGTGGCTAGGGTTGCCACAATATTATTATCGATGCGTCTGTTTACCTGGGAGAGCTTCACTCAGTCTAAATGTATGTATGTTGAACTTCTTTCGCACCGTACGTAGCCAACCCGTGCTAATCGAAGGTGCGGGGGAAGGATAACAAACTAAACACAAAGAGCAGTTCTCAAGATTATTTTTAAAATCTTGATTTTTCAGCACGGTCCTGCCAAGTTTTTGCACAAGGAGGCAATGTTGCTGCATGTAATCCCAATTGAGAAATTTGAAGGGAGTTTTTCAGCATTGAGATGTTTGGCCAATACCAGTTATATTGTATGTGGGTTTTTTTTTAGCTATGGGTGGAAACTGGGAAAACCCTGGATGACCCCCCTATGCAGAACAGGGGGAGATCATGCCACCTCCAGATAGAAAGGTGCTAGAGGCACAAGTGTTACCACTGCGCAACCCTGCCTCCCAAACACATACTACGATGTAGCATACGATGAGGCCCATAATTAGCAGCATCGTTTTTTTGGCAAAAAAAATCATCATTGTGATTACGTCCCACATGTTATTTTTATTCAACCTTTTATATCCTTTCTAAACTCTTTATGAAATGATAAACTTAATACCCTAAATAAAGTTGTATATCATCAGCAATTATTATGATGCAGGAAGTGTGGCAAAGTGCACAGATATTCGCCGTGATATTGTGAACTACAGTTACAAACATATAGGAAACCGATTTCGTGTTTAATCGTCGTGCGGCGAAATTTGATATCGTATCGCGACCTAAAAAAAAAATTGCATCCCGGCAACACGAGCGCGGCTGCCGTATAAGTGGTTTGGTGATTGGCAGTTTGGCCAATGCTATACGAATGCCTCCGTGACTGTGATGATGAGGTTCGTGGAGCTTTGCGTGTGCGTGAAGCGAGTCGGGGCTTTTTTTGTGTGTGTGGCGAGGGTGAGCTGACTTGATCCAGTTGCTGAGAAAATAAAATTTAACGCGCGTCGCCAAACACCGCAGCAAGAAAAAAAAGAAAGCGAATTAAAAACTGTTTTTTCTGCACGAATGCATTTTGAACAGCATAGTTATGAAGATACAAATTGGATGAATGTGTTGGTTTGAAATTTTTATTTGAACTCTTTATAAATACCTGTTTGGAGAGAGGTTCCTGTATACTTTATACAATTTAATATAATATAGCTTTAATATCTGTTACATGAATGTACTGTGGAAGAGTACTCCAAATATCCACCAGAGGTGCCCTGTAGTGGTCTCTCTATCATCGGGTCGTCTGCTATCAGTGGCAGGAAATTACATAAATGTGTTTTTTGGTTTGTTGTTTTTTGCTTTGTCGGACAGGCACATCCATTACATATTTGACCTGGGAAATGGGCAGGACCTCATCCGAGACAACTCCAAGCGGGTTCTCAACGACAACCGGTGGCACAACGTGATCATCTCCAGAGACAACAACAATATTCACACCCTCAAGGTCGACACCCAGACTGTGTCGCAAAACGTCAACGGCGCCAGAAACCTTGACCTCAAAGGTGACCTTTACATTTGCATTTGTTACTTACAAAAGTGCACGACAGCTGTGGTTTTCCTAATGCATCAGGGCCCACTGTGGAGTTCCTCAGAGAAAGAATGAAAGCTTGTTAATTCCTAATTAAAGGCAGGATATTTTAAGTGAAGATGGGAGAAGGGGGAGGGGTGTGGGTAATATTGGTGGTTGATTAGTAACAAGAGCCGGGCTGGCTCAAGCCAGAGGTCGCAAACGGGTTTTGATTCCTTACCCGTACCCGTACCCGGCCGCACCAGGGTCGCAAACGGCTACCCGTACCCGTTCCCTACCCGTACCCTACCCGAAATGAGTGACAAACGGCTACTCACCAGTGACTCACGGCCGGGTACGGGTAGCCGGGTATCGGGTAGGGTACGGGTATCGGGTACCTGGTTGCGACCTCTGGCTCAGGTTCAGAAGGACAATTCTGCTATTTAGAGCACCAAGCCAGCACATTTGCGATCTAGAGTTTGAATCCCAAGGGAGACAAGAAATATAACATTTTTATTTTTCTGAAAATATTCTCATCTGCAAATTTGTTTTTTTTAAGATTTCAACTGGGGTTATTAATGACCTCACGAATAATGGGTTAAGCTCTGAAATATTCAGCCACGAGTGCCAATGACAGCAGGTAAAGATTATCGCCAGGTCAGCAGACGGTGCACAACTTGGGGAGCCTGAGTTTAAAAGTTGACTTAATTAAATCAGATGCTACAAATAATCCTGGAGGGCCTTTTTGTAGAAGTTACCCCGGGTGTAGGAGGTGTAGTATACTTTACTATCAGTGGAAACATTCTACATCTGTTAATTTAATTGCCTCCATCCTGGCAAATATCATGGTAACTATAAAAATATATAAATATACAAAACTGGTGGCAAACAAACATCAGTGCATTGCGTTGGCACAAAGCAGCATAACATTTTAATACATATATTTTTTACTCCATACAAAAACATAGATTTGGTACAATTAATTAACCATAATATTCCAGTTAATCATATTTAGTGATCAAAATGTGGTCTTCCATTTTGGTAAAATGTTTTATTATTAATTTGGCAGCTTATTATCCTGTTCATGGCAGTTGGCCTGTGAGTCAGGGTTCAGAACAGCGAGAGCCAGCGCCACTGAGATCCTGGGAAGTAGTCAAAACTAGAAGGCCAAATTGACTAGTTTACTGAGTTGATGGTCGCAAGCCCCGTCAACAAATGACTGCATGAAAAAAACCCATATTTAATTTTGTTTTGCACTTAATTTGGCTACATGTCAGCTCTGAGAATTAAAAATATTGGTTGCACTGTCTGCCAATGATCGCTGCTCTTAGATGCAGAGAGGGTGGGAAATTGCTGCCCTCGATAGCATGGACCAGAGGTCACTTGAAAGTATCTCAGAGGTAGCTCTGTCATATCCACTTTGGTGGGCCATTCTCAAGCACGTAGAGTTACACTGCCTGGCGATAGATCCGGATGGATACTTCGTCTCATAACAACATCGATAGCCCATTAGGGATAAAATGAAGATTGTTGAAAATAATTTCTCACAAATCGCAGCACTATAACAAGGCAATGTTTCTCATTCTGTTTGACCTCATCTGTGCCCCTTGTCATAAAAGACATGCGGCAGAACTGCAGTTGTCATAAAGCAGTGTAATCGCTTGACAACAACATGAACACTTGCAACTAAACCAGAGGGCATTAATTCAGCGTTAAATGAACGCCAAATGGCTTCCTCCCGATCATGTTTCAGTCCACAAGATGGAGTTCGTTCATGAAAATTGCGCGTGAATGTCATTTACATCATCTCCACTAGATGTCTCTACTCTGCAGCAATTGCGTAAACGTTCCATTCCCCACGGAAAAAAGAAACTGCAAGCATTACATGTAATTAATTGTATGCCGAACATTTTATTATTATTCCCATTGGTGCATATATATGTCATAATCGTCAGCCATGGTCAATCCACTGTTGTATGAAGGCTCCCCTAAGCCACCTCCACCTCGTCTGATCCAGCAATGTCACCCTCCATTCCGCACTTGCTCGCGAGCCAATTCCATCGCTCCATCTCCTGGGTGAACGCATTCTTTCACGCACTCCATTCCTTTCCTGTCACTCCCATCACTTTTCCAGACCATCGGCCATCGTTCCTCCAAGTTTCACAAGTTGTACTTCAATATAACCAAAGAGATTGTATTGCACTTCACTATAACCAATAGTAATGAATGCGTATGTAGTGATATGTAGAGGCAAGTGTTATTTTATTGTGACGGAAAATAAATGTGTCAATTTAGGCAGGGTTGGCCTTATTTTATGTTAAATCCTGAAGAGAAGCTGATATTTAATATAGAAATATTTCTCTCCCTGGTAGTGTAACGTTTTAAACATGTATTTGATTTAGCTTATTTCCAAAATACGTAATTTCGTATGCTATTCCTCATACTTTATATATTTGTTTGTGTATGTTGTGTGCATATATTGTATACAGTACATGTACAATTTGTGCATCTATTTATAGTGTGGTCCCGTATGTACAAGTTTCCAAAAAATGTCACGAAATATTGGCAACAATGTCATGTGGCAGAGTAATGGTAATGTCGCTTCCTGTCATCGTTATCATCAGCCTTTATCCACTGCTGGATGATATCCAACAAACTGCTGCTATATCTCACGCTTTTGCGATGCAACAATCTATTTGGCACCTGCACCGTGAACAGATTTCAATTGATGGCTCCGTCACCACAATAGACATCCTCCCAGGCACGTTCTCGCCTTTGACTGCAACTCCATCGTTAGTCTCAACCACTGGCCATGTGTCCTGCTGAAACCTATTTACTTTTCTTGTCAAAGAGCGTAAACCATCACGCAAACTCGCAGCGGCTTTTGGCTATCCATCGAACAAAGACGGTCACTGCACCGCGCCCTTTCCCCCGCACCTCCAATTATCACTATTGGCTACGTGCAGTGAAAAATAAGTTCAACATACATACGTACAATGTGATGTCTCTAACCTGCGTATGTTCCCTACCTCATGTGTGCCACTTTCCGCATCTCACCGTGAGTGTTTATGCGTGTAGTATATCTCATCGGTGCTGTGTATACACGTACGCATCATCTTTATTAATTTTTTTACATTTCACAAACCGTTTGCCACAATTTTCACATAGCCACCGTAATAACATGCATTTCAGCAGAACCCGTACATGTCACACCATGTAAACAGCGCTATTCAGCGTAATGCGCTACCAAGAATTGGTCACTCATTGTGCGCTGGGGTAATTGGATTTGGCTGGCCCAGGAGGCCTCGGTGCATTGCTGATTGTATCGGCCCACCACTGCTGCTCCCTGTCCAGAAGCACCTCATGTGGCACCTTACCAGCGGCTTTGTGCGCGTCATTCTTGCTGGCGCCCTCTCTTTGACTGCTCAGGGAATATTCACTCTATCCTTCCATCTCTAATTACAAACTGCAGCTTTTAATGCTAAGACATGTTCAAGAATACAAATTATATATTTTTTTCCCCACTCCTGTGTACTTTATTTATACAAGTGTTATGTTTATTATCTCGGTGCAAGGGCAAGCACAGTGAAAATAGTTCAATTTCAAAAACTCTTAATTGTAAGGCATTTTGTCAAAGATTATCACATGTTTAGCTTGAGTTGGTTCCTTAACAAACGATTGCATTGGGAAATCCCCCCATTATAAAATATATATTTTACAGGTTGTCGACCATATTCCCCCCTCCCCCCTAAGAGATTTTCATTCAAATGCAAGGTACCACGGGTTTCAAGGAGTTCACATTACGACCACTTTCACTCTTCATTGTGTGGCATTTCAATCTTAATAATGAAGTGCCTGTTCCCGTGATTGACTCTCCAAATTAAACATCTGTCAGACTAAAAACAGGCGAGAGAGAGAGAAATTTGACAGTCTTTCATTTTGACAGGTGGTAAAGCTGCCCCGTGGTGACAAATAAGTGGTACAGCGTGTTACCGTTAACCCTTAAAACTACCGCGCCTGCTATACAGGAGGTCATGGGTTTGGTCGTGACCCTGACACTTGTATCCAGTATTTGGAGTTTGCATGTCCGATCTCCCCGTGGTCGCGTGGATTTTTCTCTGGTTATTCCGTCCTCATTTATAAGCATGCGTTTAGAATATTTGACTGCTGTAAATTTCCACATGATAAGCCATTTCGTTGGGTTATCATTTTTGGCCAGGTCGCTTCTGAAAAAGAGATATTTAGTTCAGTGGGCCTTACTTGGTAAAATAAAAAAATAAGTTTATTTTTATAGTTTAGTTTAGACTCACACAATTGTTTACACATTGATGGTTTCTCTATTATCAATTGCAACCCTGCTCATAATGTTTACACTGCCCTTGGCCTGTCTCTTTTCACTGCAATTAAAACTTAAAGTTGTACGTATTTACACAGACGGGCGTTTACGTATTTATTTAAACGATATATTTCTTGTCTCAAGGATTAATAAATAGTGGGGGGGGGGGGGGGCAGAAATAGCTGGAAACAAAGCACCAGATAACCAGATAAATAGGATATGTCTGCTTTAATGTGCTTGTCACAAATGAGCACTGCAATATTCAAACTTGGGGCAAATATTTTCAATTTGAGTCACATTTAATGTCCTGTGGGGGGAGGGGGTTGAAAAATGTACGCATTCATGAAATTGATGATTTGTGTCAGATAATCGTCTTTTCAGTTTCACATTCGTGTTGGGTTCGTCTCATGCATTGCGTTTTTTTTTGTTTTTTTGCAAAATATTTCGAGCTTTTCCAACATCTCGTTTCCATATTTTTGTGTTATACATTATGGTTATCGGCACTGCTATTATTTTAAAGCAAGATTGTTCGTACTGGAGTTTCATTCTATTTAGACGCTAATCACTGGCTTGAACAGTGCAAATACAGACAAAACCAAAGCTGAAATGCAATAACATATCCCACGCATTACACACACAGATAATAATCAGGAGGTTTTCGTAATGCCTATAATTATAACGTGAATAAACAATAGCAAGGGCTGAGCTGTATAAATGGGCACGCCACCAATTAGCACAGTTTTAATACCTACGGTTCAAAATAAGTTCAACATACATACGGACACCATAGCTGGTTCACGTGTGGTGGGGTAAAGTGCGGATACTCTCTCATCTCCCACGATGTCTGGCCACTGTGGATGAGTAGGCCAAATACCCTCTAGATGGGGCTCTCTAGAGCTCTCCCTAACGGAGGCCCTTCCACCAACACTGGAGTGAGCATGCAATTTCAAGGCTGCACCTTTATCCTATTTATAATACAGCACACTATTGCTGTTAATGTTCAATGTACGTGAAGAAACCATTGAAATTGTGATTTCGTGGAGGCATTCATACAACACTGTGCCTTTACATTGTTTAAAATGTCACAGTTAAATGTAAATGCATAGTTGCCTAAATGTCTGCAAGCAGTGACGTGAGCAATAAATTGCAGGGCTGCACCTTCACCTTTTTATACAAAGGGCTGACCTGTACTCAAGTACGCTGCAGTGAGTTGCAAGAGAAAACCGCATTAGACAGCAGCTAATGGCTTTAAACGCCTCTCCGATGCGTATTCTGGTCGTACCGCGCGTTGTCCAGCACGACGTCCGACGAATCGCTCTACGTGCTGGGAGCTCTTTCAGGCAACTGAATTCCATCGCGCGGAGCAAAATGTCGGACATCGCGCCAGACGGACACGTACCAAGCAAACCCGAGAACACGGCACGAGGGAGAGAGCCATTCCTCTGCAGCATATCCGCGAAAAGCCTTTCAATGCAACTCTCGTCCGTTTCTCTCGACAGGGGACTTGTTCATCGGCGGCTTGGAGAAGAGCATGTACGCTAAGCTGCCCAAGCTGGTGGCGTCGCGCGAGGGCTACCAAGGCTGCCTGGCGTCGCTCGATCTCAACGGACGCCTGCCGGACCTGCTGAAGGAGGCGAGCTACAAGGTCAACGAGATCGAACGCGGCTGTGAAGGTGCGACACCCCGCCCCCCCCCCCCCCCAATCAAAAGCAAACTAACACGCAACACGTTTTTTTACATTAAATTTTACCAGGTAAGGCCCACTGAGCTATACAAGCTCTTTTTCAGACGCGACCTGGCTATTACAAATGATAGCTCAACGAAGTGGCTTATCATCATGTGGAAATTTGTAGCAGCCAAATACTCTAAACGCGTGTTTCTAAATGCGGAGGAAAATCCCGAAAGATTCGGAGATAAATCCACGCGACCGCGGGGAGAACAGACAAGCGCCAAATATACAGGTGTCAGGGTCGAAATCGAACCCAGAACCTCTTGTATACCAAGTGAGGTAGTTAACATCTCGCCACCGTGGCACCCGGGGGTAGATTGTTTGCGGCCCATGCTGGGGGGAGGGATTGTGGGGGGGGGGACATGGCAGAGAGTGGGGAGCTGGCCTGAGGTGAAGAGAAGAAGCTGGCAGGTATATGTACGTGTGTGTGTGCCGATTGATATGTGATACATTTTTGAGTGAGTTAGTCTGTCCGCTGTATTTTTCTGATTGCACAGGAAAGGGAATGAAAAGTTGTGAGCTCGGCTTGTTTTCCACTTGTGTTAATTTGGTGATCGATTTATGTATTTACCTGTCCAGTCAGCAACAACCTGTGTATTTGGCTCAGTCTTAGTCTGTGGGTATCTCTTGGTCATTTTCTTAGTCTAGTCGACAAATGCGTTCACAGATTTAGTTCACTTTTAGTTTTTAGATATTTGTGTGAGAGGCACTCAATTTCCCCCCCACCCCACTCCCCAACCAATATTAATAGGTGAGCCAATCAGTTTACTCAGAAAACCTTTTTATGCGTTTAATATAGCCAATTAACATTTTGGTCTTGCTCTGCGTTGCAGTCTCCGATAATAATACTAAGCTATCTAATTCTGCTTTCTCCTTCAGGCGAGCCAATTACGCCTCGTCATAGTCGGTCATGCTCTCGTCTTCGGTGGATATTCATCGCCATACTCACGGTCGATCATTTTCATTCACTCGCGGGCGATCGTTGACGAAAGTTAAATGAAATTTAAACCCACCTCATTGACGAATATTTTCGTCACTAAAATGTAACACTAGGATTTCACAATCTCACCCACTGATATGACAGCAACTACTAATTTTTTTTACCGGTAAGGCCCACAGAAGCGACTTGGCCACAAATAATAGCTCAACCAAGTGGCTTACCACGTGGTAAATTCACAGCAGCCGAATGCAAACTCTAAATATACAGGCGTCAGGGTCGAGATCGAACCCGTGACCCAGCATACCAGAAGAGGAAGTTGACATCTCACCGCCGTGGTGCCGACAGCGCACTGCAACAAACCAGATGCCACATTTAATCATTGGCTGGTTATTGCCACCGCACGAGTTAATGGGGGTGGATGTTACTCTTGTTGGCACTGTGACAATGCCCTTCACCCTCCACTACCATAACAGCAATAATGTACTCGGACAAAAGTTTCACGCAGTTAGATGCTGTCATTGCGATGGTGCTTCCAAAAAGGCTTTACTGTGCATCTGTTCAAGAGCATTAAAGAGGGGAATCGCGAATTATCTGCTCCCTATCCCTCATGATTAGACAAATTGTTCACGATTCAAGGTCACAATTTTATTTAAGAATTGTCTTTTTTTACTGCAGTGGCCAGTTGTCTCAGAGGGTCATTTGTATGTACGTATGTTGAACTTTTTTTGCACCGTAACATCGCCAACCATGCTGATCGGAGGTGTGTTACCTCCGAGACCCACCGCTGAAGTTCAGGCAGCCACTGATGAATATTAATCGGGTTCTCAGTTGTAGCAAGCTGACGGTCTTAGCATTGTCGCGAATGATTGTGTGAAGAAAAAAAACACGTGCGGTAAACATTTGGCTTTTCATCTCTGGAGAACGTAACGTATCTGTGTGACTATTGTGCGACAAATACCAGTCTCAAATCAGGGGTTTGTGGAAAAGGGCAAGCACTTTCATGGAAAGTAAAAAAGAAAAAGGCGCTTCCATCGGCGTTCATGTACATTTCCTTGACGCTCGGAGCTGCAGTGATCTGTGAGATTTCCGTGTGCATGCCGAGAGCACACTGGGAATTCAGCTGGGAAGACCAACAACAAAAACACGTGTATTCGATCAACACATATATATAAATAAATACTGTAATTCATCTTCTTGGTTCTTTCGGTAAAGTCACGTAGAAGGGAAATAATAAAATAATAAAAATAAAACATTATAAAATTATTCTCACGACGTTTCGGCCACAACGCAAGCAGCCGTCCGAACAGGTCTGTCGAGAAGACAGAGTCTGAATGACACACTCCAGGCTTGGAGCGTCTATTTAAGCTGGGATGGAGGGGGAAGAGCGCCTTGACAAAAGAATTTGCATATCAAGAGGAATGTAGCATATTTATGGGAAATGCAGATATGCGATTAGTACTGCTTGTGAAATGCGTAGGGGGTTTAAAGTCATAACTGTAATTGTTTTTACATTTTGGTGAATGCGGCTGGAGCCTCTAGTGGCTGGAGAGGGTCATGTGAACCTATTACATACAACATATGCGTGTATTAAACACGGTCTATGATTACGACCACGATTGGCGACATGTATCTCAAGCTTAAGAATCAGTATCAGTTGATTATTGTGTGCATCATTATACCCGGAGCATTAATCTAATGACACCCAATCGCTCATCGACTCCCAAAGGTATGCCAGAGAAAATACCAGTTGTATTCACCTTTTATTAGTCTCATTTTAAATATGTTCCTTACCAGTAATAATTAATCTAAAGCATCCCAATTGTACCAGTGAGCATGTACGTTTTGACTTCTCAACAGCCACAACACAATTTATTATTCCTTTTATATTTATATAAAACCAACGAAATTACTTTAACCTAAAAACATCAATACTTATTTCACAATAATTGCCCTATGACAAATGTAACTATTGTATTATAAAGCATAAAGCCTAACTTTTTTTGCTGGACAGGAAAGTACTTCATCTTAAGCACTTTAAAATAGTTTAAGCTTTTGTGTTTGATTCATTTTTAATTGCAAATATGGCAGACTTTATTTTTTCTTCATCATCTATATGTCAAAACAATTGTGATTAATTGCTGTTGCATTGCCGTGGCCCAATCTCATGAACATTTGCTTTCCTGTTTATTGACAATGTCAATTTAAAAGCCAATGCACAATGGGGAATTGAAATGCTGAATAAAATTATGTGACAATATAGAAATAAACTGCACAATAATGGTGTGCCTGGGTAGGCCAAGCGGAGTGCAGAGATGAATTAAACGTTATAAAATGACTTGCTGGCCCACACTGCTTTCATGTTTATTAGTAGCATGAATGCACCGCAGGATACATTTTTTGTTTGTTTTGTTGCATGTTTTTTTTTTAAGTATTGCATAATATTGTAATGCGCATTTAAAGTGAATGCTTTTTTGTTATTGTTCCAGGTTAGTAGTGAAAACTTGTTAATTTGTTTCTTTTACATTCATCCTTTTGTTACGCTAGACAAGTTATAAAGAAAAAAATATAATGATGATGTCAAAATAAATTAAAAACATTAAAAATGTACTCATCGCCACTATTTGTATGCTGTGCATTCAGGACATACGTAATAAAAAGACAAATACACGTTTTACATTTGAGAACTAAATTATCTCTTTCTCAGCAGGAATTAATTGAAATTGTGCTGTTCAATAGAAAGTTTTTAAATGTAAAATGTTAAAACTGGGCCACGACTTGGTGTTTACTGGAGTCCTTCTGAGTACTTTGACCATGAGTTGACGTTTTGGGTACGATTTGCAAAAACACCCATATGCTTTTTTGCTATACGATGGATGAGATTATGGTTCAGAAACAAGGTCATGGGCAAATAAGGTGGAACAGAAATATGAAGGGTTTGTGCTGCCTGCCGGTTTTTGTTCCACTTCATGCATGCTTGGAGTTGCATTTGAGAGACAGGAGGAGGAACACATGAAATAAATAAGCCACACAGGTTAAATACACCATTTAAATTGGTCAGAAAAATAAGTGGATGCTTGTTTGAGCAAAACACACTGCTGGATGAGACAATGCACGATGGTCAAATATCATGATATTGACAGCGAATGTGTAGAATGCGTCCGAGAGTACATCCACTAAGGAGATGTAGTGATGAAACACGCTCGTTGTGCAGGTGCTCAGTGGATCATTCCATCGTAGAGACGATCATCCAGCATTGGATTGGTCGTGGCTGGCGATGGTTATGATACTCATGATAGGTGACTAACTTGACATTGTCCTGGGCAATAAGGACATTTCATGTGGGAATCAGCGATAAACTCTTAAACCCCTGTTATGTCGAGCCTCACATCAGTTGCTTTCTACCTTCGGCATCGTTAACAGATTTGCAGCCGTGTGGCATAAAATAATAACATGCTGCAACCACCTCCATTCACCGTGACTCTGCTGCTCAGAGCTCATCGCAGGCCGCTTGATTGTCATTCAAGAACAAATCCCCAAGACGCAATTTGCGATGAGAATGTAAGAAAAGAAAAAAGTTAACGATCAATAATTACGACATGAAATCCAGATTTGGACACTTTGAATCATTGTTGTTTTATGCCATTAAGCGCTTCCCTTTTTATAAAGAGCAGGCCATGTGGCGGCTGAGCGATGACAATATCTGGCGATGTCAACATGCATTTTAATAAGCTGAAAGATTACAAGACCCCCCTCTCTGTAGCCTGCAGGCAGCCTGGAAAATCAAAGCGCTCGCTATTTTAAACCATGTGCAGCCAGCGAAACGCTCGTGCATCTAAGTATATAAGCAGCTCGCAAAGTTGGGTCTGAAAAAATTAACCCGTACAAACAAAGTTTTTCACTATAAATCCTTTATATGCGTGGCGGCTAGAGTCCTCTCGTCCTCTGGCTTGAGATGGCTGCCACCTATGGGTCAGATGATTGCCTGCCACCATTAAGCAATTGGTAATTAAATATAATTTATTTTTTCCTAAAAAGTGCAACATTTTGGAAAAACATTTTCACGAAAATAAATTGTCATGCACAACGAGTCTGTGTGCAAAATGTCAGCTCGATTGGATCACGGGAAGTGGGTTAAAAAACGACCGAAAGATTTGCACGGTCGTAAGCGCGCAAGCAAGCAAGCAAGTGAACTTAATATAAAGGATTTAAAAACAGTTGCTGTGCAGCCTGGCGTAACAAGACCTTTAAGACTTACATGGCAAGAAGGAATGCATCTGCATATCATCCGTAAAATAACCATTTGCCAATATATCTCCAAACATACTTTAATACACCTTCTGTCGTAAGCATTTTGGCGTCATCTGGTCCAACACCAATGGAGACTAGGCTCTAAGAAAAGCTGTCTTGGGTGTGGACCAATCAACTTCAATGACAGTGCATATCATTATCAGAGTTGTTTATTTTTGTTTGCATTTTGACTGCCTTGTATAAAGGTGTCAGTTTTTGTACCAGTTGAAAGGGTAAAAACCTATTACGATATTTTGCCACTGGTAAAGGAGATGTCTCATAGTGTAAATGCTTACTCCGAGCTCTCAATACTCTGATAGTGCGCTGTCTTTGAGTTGTACGCCTTTTGGCGTCATCTGGCCCAACACCAATGGAGACTAGGCTCTAAGAAAAGCTGTCTCGGGTGTGGACCAATCAACTTCAAGGACAGTGCATATCATTATCAGAGTTGTTTATTTTTGTTTGCATTTTGAATGCTTGTGTTGTAGTTATTGCAAACATGATGCCTTGTATAAAGGTGCCAGTTTTTGTACCAGTTGAAAGGGTAAAAACCTATCACTATACTTCTGTGGATAGTTTAGAAAAAAACAATTAAGCCCGCTGTAAAATTTCTTACATGGGTTGTTAAGTGTAAAGTAAATGTGCAGCCCTACAAATTATTGCTTGTGATACCTGCCTGCCGATCGACTAACTGTGATGTACCCATGTATACCGGTGGGTGGGATAGGCCATGGGTGTTATGCTGAGGTGTGGACTCGAGTCATGTGACTTGGACTCGAGTCAGACTCGAGTCATGAATTTGATGACTTCAGACTCGACTTGGACTTGCATAACAATGACTTTGTCCCACCTCTGAGGTGTGGACTCGAGTCATGTGACTTGGACTCGAGTCAGACTCGAGTCATGCATTTGATGACTTCAGACTCGACTTGGACTTGCATAACAATGACTTTGTCCCACCTCTGAGGTGTGGACTCGAGTCATGTGACTTGGACTCGAGTCAGACTCGAGTCATGAATTTGATGACTTCAGACTCGACTTGGACTTGCATAACAATGACTTTGTCCCACCTCTGGTGTTATGTAATAGAAAAGTGAAAGTATGTTTTTTTTCCGCAACGTGAGAACTCCGCAGGTCATCGCACTCGTTGAAGCGTTGTCTTTCCTCGCCGTGTCTCCCACGTGTGCCGTGACAGGACCAAGCACAACATGCCAAGAATATTCCTGCGGGAACCAGGGCATGTGTGTGCAGCACTGGGCCACCTTCACCTGCGATTGCACCATGACCTCCTTCAGCGGCGCTTACTGCAATGACCGTGAGTCATATGTCCTCTCTTAAATCTTCTTTTGTCCCGAGAATGTCCAGAGCTCAACACCCAATGTTTGATCCACGATCACAATGCCTTTTCTCATAGCGACGGTCAGAATGTTCTGCCAACATTTTGTGTGTGTGTGTTTTGTATAAAAGAAGAAAAGGCCCGTGATTAATTGCACCCACAATTTACTAGCTCAATCAATTTGGCTTTGTAAAAAAATGGAAATACATAAAAGGATGTGCCAGCTATGGGTAAGTTCAGAATTGTCCGATTTGAAAGCAAATGTTGGCTGTGCATGCCACCCTATACATGGTTATCAACAGTTGTTATATATAAGTTAAGCGAAATCAATAAAACGTGTTAATGAGATATAGGCAGAGCAATTTTATAAAGTACCCACCCAGATCTTGTCCCAATTAAACTCCCGCTTAACGTTTTGTCTCATTAATCATTTGTTCAAGCTGAGTCAACAATAGAAATCGTAATGGCGTTGGCATGTCAATTCTCACAGCCCCACCACGACTCTTCCATTGCTTTAACCCCAACAACAGAACATATTTAACAAAAATTGTGTTTGAAAAATGTGAAGCCACCCCAATTTAATTTGTAGCTCAGCTCCTGCCAATAATTCCCAACACATGTCGGAGTTTAAATAAAAAATTGTCGATTGTAGACGCATGCACTTCGACAGCTTGACATCAACTCCACGTTTAACACACGTCGTTTTGCAATTCCCAAGGCATGAGTGGCATTAACTAATGCTATAGCGTTAAGGCACATGAGCTCTAACTTAGGCATTCCCATAACAGATTCATATCTCAGCCTTTGTTATACAGTCTATTCTTAGTCTCAAGCCTCACCTTACCATATTAATAATAAGTATGCAGCTCTTGCCCCACCACCTTCTCCAACCATTATATAAACGGAGTGGTAGCTCCTGCAATCTCTCATTTACTTGATAAAGCTGTCGTGGCTGTGACGGTACCACCTGAAGACGGAAGCTTGTGTTGCCTCCGAAACGTCGTGATTTTTATTTTTATTTTTTATTTTATTTTACTTTTTAATGTTTTTACCTAGGTGACTTTACCGAAAAAACCTAAGAGTATAGATTCATATCTGCAAACTGCAACAATAAGGAGGCAATATTCGTTGCTAATTAATTCCTTGCTTATGATTGACTAACAACACACAATTGCTTAGAGGAGATGGAGAGAAAACGATGTTTTAACTAGTTTGCTGTGAGTGGGTTTACCAGTTTGGCTATGTGGATCGAGTGTGTGTGGTGGGTGGGGGTGTATCACCAGTCAAACTCATTCTCTACCACACACGTGACACACTCTTACACACGTGTATTAGTTATCAAGCCAGCATGTTAAGGGACTCTCCGTTCTGTCTGTAATGAATAAACCACCTGCGCCATTGTTTGATATGAAAGGTAAGAATAAAGGTGCAGCCCTGCAAATTTCGTCTTATCGCCACTTCTCAAAGAAGGGTCTCGGCCCGACATAGCTTTAGGCAGCCCGTCTTGAAGGGTATTTTGGCCTACTCTTTAAAGTCGACCAGACAGGTCCTACGTCTTCCATTAGTTAACGTGTACCGACCAAAAGCTTGAAATCACCACGATGTCAAGGTGAGTCGGGTGCATTGGAGTAGGAGTCTCTGCTCATGTATTCCTGTCATGCTTGTAATTTACAGATATACTGGTTACAGGTTTACCTACAGCAACAGGGAGGTAATAGGTTGTGTTGACTAAATGTGGCAGTGTGAATGTTTCACTTAGCACGGAGGGTTTTCACAGCCATTCGTAATCCAATTGTGGCCTTCCAGGTGAGGCTTCATGTTGAGCATTTCATCTCGAAAACTTTCACCACCCACTACTTTGGGCATCTTCAGGAATTCAGCAGCCCGCGGCAAAGGTTCGATCGCAGAAATGCTCAACATTTTGCCTAACCCAGAACACCACGTTGGGATACAATATTTTTCCTCTGAAAACTCAGGTTTTCAAGTGTGTATTATATTCACTGACACATTTATGCGTCAGATATATTTAAAAAATCTGTAAATATACAGCAAACTTTTTACAATTATTTCCCCTAATCTTTTCGTGTATAATTATTTATTTTACAATATCACGTTCATATGTACACGTGTGTCTGTACCCTGAATTAATAGCCTCCCGTAGCAGTGACATAGCCGAACACATACAGCATTAATCTGTACTCCAGTGCCTATACGTTTGGTTATTTTACGGCAACAGAAAAGGCTAACAAAGCGGACTCCATTATTTAAAAACGGCCTCACTTTAATTAGGTGATTTATAATATTCAGATACATATGTTCAGTTCCCATACAATGTGTCGCTGGGGCGGAAATGTCAGGCCAAGATGCTGATGCAGACTTAGAAGGTCACCCTGTAACATGCTGCTGACCACAGTATGCAATTAATGTAACATGACATTTTGCACAAATTCATAATATTAGATGCCTAAGGTAAGCGTTGAGGCTAACCGGCATGCTGGCCCATCAATTCCTGAGGGTCCGTCTGTAAGGAGAGTAGCATGGGAAAGGAAGGAGCGTGCTTTCACACACCACTGCACAACGTTAAATAATGTTAGCAGAATACGTGAGTATGTAAGTAGGTTAATAACAAACATCTGCACATGTAACTTAAACAATGGGAAAGAAAATAACAATTCGACGTTAAGCTGAATATACCACATGTAGGCTTTCACATGCAATATTATGATTCATAATTGGTGTCTTTTTTGGATTAGATAGTTTCGGTATCATGTGAATAAAAGCGATAACCCTTCACAATCCGACACAACCAAACACATCAGGTTGTTGCGTGCGCAAATGTGCCAATTGATTTTCGTTTTCAGCACACTGGCAATTATTTGTTTATTGTTTGCATCTGTGCGCCACTGCCAATGCAGTACCACCAAACAATTAGATCTTGATCGTGAAAAGCCAACAGCTCGGGGAGACCTTTATCCAGTAGTGGACGATCCATGACTGATGACGCTGATGGTGCTGAAGCAAACACATTCACTCATGTGATACCGTAGGATGAAGTCGTACTGTATTGCCAGGGGGACTGCCAAACATTGCGAAGAGTCTGCCCACGCATTTTTGGAGTCGCCACCGCCATCCTTTTGTGTGAACCGGTCAAATATACCAATGCCAGAGGTTGTCTGAACGTTTTCAATGATGCGGTGCATATTTGGATGGAAGCCCCAAAAGACAGGGGGATCCTCAGGGCTATCACTGCTCAGGGCAGTTTTCAGTGCCGTAATAATCGCATGAAATATGCATAGAAGGCATGCAGAAGAAAGGTTAACAGTACACTTTTCCCTTGCACTTATGGCAAATTTGGAAAGCTCTCAAGACATGTTATTAGACTTATATCTTCCATTGAGATTTTATTTTGTTAGCATGAATTATTTTTGACACAAAGGGCTGCTTTGGATTGTCCGATGAAGTAAAGTGTGGTTTCGCACAGCATCGTTCGAGTGGCTATGTTTTGTTTCGGATAATTTAGAGACTTGAAACAATAAGACAGACATTTTCATGCTTGCTTATTAATCAGATTTTTTTAATTTGCATTTATATCGGCACTTTGCTATCGGTACAGGCTTCCTGACCATGCAGTGTGAAATGAGGAAACCTTTCTTTGGTATCGTCGTTTGGTCCATGCCAGGCAGATACATTTTGAAGGCATTGAACCTGGCTCATATACTTGCGTTCCCTTGACAATAGGAGAGTAGAAGAAATACTTTTATCTATGCTGCGTTCCCATCCACGCTTTAGTTTCACAACAGATAATGTAATCATGCATATCCAGAAAACAGGACTCCAATATAATTAATGAAACGAAAATATTGCATTGTGTATATATTTTTAGCACCAAACTTTCGTCTGCTTATATAATTTTGGATTAATAAGCGAGACTTGCGTTCATCCCTTCACGTAAAACAATATGTTTATCTCACCACCTGAGGCCTTCCACAGGGGAATTGCATCCAGCACTATTTTTTTAAGCAAGCAAATGCTGATCTAGTTTTGACACTCTAGGTCTCATCAGCAGCGTTTAGAGCACTGCAGAGCCTTGTTATGTTGCAATTAGCAATACTGGATTGCATACAAGCTCCCGATGTATCGTTATGAAGCATTGTGGGTAATCAACTAATTAAATATGCTTCTCTTCGATTTAAAGCTTCCGTGACTGCAGGGATTCATATTCTTGGTTCTTTCGGTAAAGTCACGTAGAAGGGAAATAATATAATAATCGCTTCAGCTAAAATTTCCTTGCTGTAGTTTTCACACCTGATGATGATTGCTTGTGTTTCAATCGAAACGTCGTGATAATTTTTATGATGTTTATTTTTTATTATTTTAGTATTTTCCTTCTACGTGACTTTACCGAAAGAACCAAGAATATGCTTCTCTTCATTTGCTCACGTGAAAATAAATACTGTATTTTATATGTTTGTCCATTCGGTTATAAGCTGTGCTGACAAACATTATCCAGCAGCATTTTGTTTAAAAAAGCAACTTCTGTATTAGTTTCAACCTTCATGGTCTTATCAGGAGAGTCGGGTATGTTGAACAAATACCACGTGTTGCGTCTAACTAATTATCATTGTGTACATAAGTAATGCATCGCTGTATAATCGTTCTGTTTATGTTGCACAATTGAAGCTCTACCTCAAATGCACCATGTCATTTGAAACATGTCCTTAAGCAATGTCATAATATTTTTTCAAATGATTTTACCACATGTGGTGCAAAAGTGTTTACATATCCCGTAGCATTTCTAGCCATCTCCCATAAGAGAGAAAAAAATAGGCTGCTGCATCTTTAAGTTAGCTAATAACTTCTGTAGAAACGTGCTACGAGTCTAATCGGAAGATGTTGTCTTTTCATTGACCTCCTTTGACTGGATGAGAGGACTCCAATTCTGAAACTTTGACCAATCGTGGCCAACCCAACTGGAGGCT